GAGAGGACTCAGCTGGCCCGCCCCCGGAAGACTTCCCAGCCAGGATTCCTGTCACAGAGCCTCTGGGAGGGAAGAGCCCTCACCGTACAGACCAGGAAACTGAGGACCAAAGCAGGAAGACAGTGGCCCAGATCATCCAGCTTCTCCTCCCCTCTGGCTTCACTTCATTGTAGAACTTCTCTGGGTAGTTCCAAGGGGAGGAGAGGGACTGGGGTCCATGTTGGGGGGAACGTTATGTGCTCAAGTCTCACAGCAAGGACAGGGGAAATGGGGGTTCCGGCTTCCAGCACTGGGATATTCCCCAGTCATCTACCCCACCTGGCTGTCCTGTGGGAAGGGCAGGCTGGCTGGGTGGGGAGAGCCCTGGATCAAAAGACAAGCAATGTGCATTTCTCGCCCAGCTTAGATAATATGCCCTGGGTCTTTCTGGCCTCAGTCTCCCATGTGTGAAAACAGCAGGTCAGAATACATCAGGAATGACAAACTCACAGCCCTCATACAACACTCCCTAATCCTCTGCCCGTGGCAGACATTACTAGTCTATCACATCACTCTTTCCCATGAAGCCAAGACTGGGCCTCAGAGTGTCTCAACACAGCAATCCAGGTCTGGGGGATATGAGCCCTGGGCCATCCCTAGACCGGGTAATGTCTGAGCCCCCACGAGGGAGGGGAAGGGAGAAAGAGGTAACATTTCCTGAGCATCCGGTAGATTCAAGCTGCTGAGAGACATCAGCTGATTTTATCCTCACAATGAGGTATGCAGAGGCTCAGGTTCAGAGGGGCTTAGTGCTCTGCCTTTGGACACACAGCTGGCAACGGGACCTTGAACACAGGGGAGCCGTCTATTGGGGCACCTTCCCCAGAAACAGGGACACAGAGCCAGCCAGCATGAGGGCCTGAGGAACAGCTTCACCCCATCCTCCCCTTGGCCCTACGAGGTGCAAGTCCTATGCCCATTTGACAGCTTCAGAAACCGAGTCACAGGAAGGGGGTGTCAGCCGCCAGAGAAGGAAGGACTCAAGTCCATGTCCGGTCCTTGCCCGCCCTATTTATCGAGTTAACGTGCGCTAAACGCTGTACTTCAGTACTCTCGGGACATCCTGGGAGTCGTGACTCATATTATCCCACTTCATAGATGAGGAAACTGAGGCGCCCCAGGGGAAGTGCTCCCCCAGGGGCTCAAGTGGAAACCTGAGCAGTTCACCATGGAGATAAGGGGGTAGGAGCAGTGGAGGGGAAGTAAAGGGCTGCGGGAACCCAATGGAAGATAGAGGCGCGGGGGCCACATGACCGAGGCAGGAATGAGGCTCCGGCAAGAGGCCCAGAGCAGGGGGGAGGCCCTTTGAAGGGGCTCTAAGGCCTGCAGGGACACGAGCCCTGCAGAGCCCTCCAGCCTAGGTTCACCTTGTCACTCAGCAACCAGGAGACCCTAGGCAAGTGGCTTCTCCTCTCTGGGTCTTAGTGTTCACATCTGGAAAATGGACCAATCTCACCTAAGGCAGGCTTCCAAAAGCTGGGCTAAGCTAGACCACAGGGCTCTCCCCAGTGCAGCCTCCTCGCACAGAGAGGGCAGAGCAGGACTCACATCGCCCAGCACGTGGACGCCTTGCTGCCAGCATCCTTTCCTAGGCCAGTCCTGCCCAGAGCAGCCCCTTCAGGCTCAGTGAGATCACCCACTCAAAGCCTTCACCACACAGCTGGTGAGGCCAGACCCATGGGGCCGACCGACCTGCCCAGTGCAGCACCACACAAGGCAGGCCCCATTTCCTGAGGACCTACTGGTGCCAGGCACTGGGCATACAGCCCTGCTTCAGCCCTCACCTGACAGGGAAATATCGTCCCCATTTTCAAGACAAGGAAACTAAGTCTCAGAAAGATACAGGGAATGACCCAAAGACACACAAGTGGAGACGGTCAGAACGTGAACCTAGACCTGTCTGACTCGTGAGCCCTGACGGTACTTTGGTCTCCAGCTGACCGCCTCCCCCCGCCCCCACCACTCCCCACCTCACTCCCAGCCTCCAGCCACCCTGCATTGCACTTCCCCAACCCCGGGCTCTCACCCTCTCCTGCCTTCCTGCCAGTGAACTCCTATTCTACTTTCAAAGCCCAGCCTTAAATGCCCTTCCTCTTGACACCTGATCTAGGCCCCTGCAGAATACTTGGAGTCCAGCCCACAGATCTATTTCCACCAGATGTGTTGGACAGCTCTGTACTCAAGCCTCCAGCATGGGGCTGTTCACAGAGCAGACACTAATCAGCCCCTTGTGTGAAGATGAAGGCCAAACTCCTCCCCAAGGCCCACACAGCCCACAGGGTCCAGCCCTGCTGTGAACACCCCTCATTTCACCTGTCACCCCCTCCCCCTAATTCTCTGTGCTCCAGATTCACAGGCTTTCCCATTGTTCCTCCACAACAGCACACACTCCCCACCTCAGGGCCTTTGCACATGCCATCCCCTCTGCCTGGTAAGCCCTGCCCCTAGCTCCATGCCTGGCCAACTCCCACGTGCTTCCTTCAAGATTCCTCTGCACCCCACGCCTCTCCCTCTGAGCCCTTATCACATCTGTGATTATATATTCATTTATTTGGCAACTTGTTTGCTACTTGGCTCACCCTCTAGACTCAAATTTCTGGAAGGCCAGGGACGTTCACCATTCCTCTGCAAGGACCCACCCAGGCTGACCACTCCCCACAACCCCAGGGAAGTGTCTGAACAGAAGGGAAGAGAGAGCACTCTCGTCCCTCCTTTGTTGAGCAAACTGCTGCCCCCCCTCAGCACCACCTCCTGGAAGCCTCCGGATGCCTCCCCACAGCTCCCACTGCTCACCCCATCACCACACTGCTGGCCTGAGTTCAAAGCTCCTAGGACACAGTAAGTGCTCAATACAAGGTCACGGAGGCTTGTATTTAGGCAGGTTTGGGGAAATGGGGTCAATTGAGGACCAGGGGGTTGGGGGGTCTGTCGGCATGTCACTGAGCCATCTCCTCCCTGGATCCTGGGGCTTGGAGGAGCCAGACAACCCCTGGCCCCCCAGGTCACCATCAGGGAAGAAGCAAAAGCAGAAACTGGCTGTGAGCTGGGGATAATTCATGCTCCAGGAAGAGGCTAGGGGAGAGGAGGAGAGAGCTGGGGGGCCTTCCTGGAAGAGGTGGGCCTTAAACTAAATCTTAAAGAACAAGAGCAGATAAGCAGCTCCTACATGAGAGGACACTCCGGCAGGGACACCTTCAGGAGCAAAGGCCCAGGGGCCACACAGGAGGGCCTGGGCAAGCAGTCAGCTGAGAGAGGTGACACACTGTAAATCACTTCCTTGGGTGGAAAGACCACATCACCATCTCACCAAATGGGCCTCGTGGCTCCACGCGATCACTCATCGGGGTAGTCTTTTCCGACACTGCCGTGTGCCTGGTCCTGTCCTGAGAAACGCCTGCTCCTCCATCACCCCTGGAAGGGGTCGAGGGCAGCCAGACGGGGGGCTCCAAGGTCCAGGTTCTGATTCCAGCTTCAAACTGTGTGGCCTTGGGGCAGTCACTTCACCTCTCTGTGCCTCAGTTTCTCCATCAGCAAAATGAGGATAAACAAGAGCCCCTACCTCAGAGGAGGCGCTCAGTAGAGGTCAGCAGCTGTCATTACCACGGGCCCATTTTACACTTAACGAAAGGAAGGCCAGAGGGAACAGTGAGCTGCCTGAGCTCACACAGCTGCTGGGTGGCAGGCCTGTGCCAGCGTGGTCTCTTTCTCAAGGGGTTATTCTTTCTCAAGAGGCGGCTTTTCAGGCACAAATCCACCCTCTCATGGAGATGAGCCCCACTAGGCCAGCAACCTCGCCTCCACCCGTTCAGGCAATTCATCCAGGGAAGCGCTCATTTATTGAGCACCTACTACATACCAAGCCAAAACACACAGATTCCTCCCCTGAGGATTCCCATTCCACATATGCAGACTCAGAGGGCAGTCCCTTGGCCCAGGTCGCCCAGTGAGACGAGAAGCCTAGGTGTCCTGTCTCCCCAGCCAGAGGGCTGAGAAGAGGGTCAGCTACACAGCCAGCCTGGCCCACTGAAACCAAGTCTGACCTCAACTGCACTGTGGCTGGGCCTGGCCTCCCCCCAGGGGACACAGGGACCACTGCCCCCATTGTACAGAGTCCCTGAGGCTCTCACCCAGGCCCACACACACATGGTCTGTCCACTCTTAAGTCAGCCTGGAGACCCCAGAGGCTGAACTGGTACCCCACAGGTGAGCCCTTTCTCTTCATGCCCATCCTTCCACCAGCCCAGTAATCCCAGCCAGGCCCACCTGCCACTGATGAGAACCTCCAGCTCAGAGAGAGCAGGCAGTTGTCCGAGGACACACAGCACGGCAAGTGGTGGTCCTGTTGAGATTCAAACCCACTGCAACCCCAGCCCAGGCAGGCAGATGGACCGGTCTTGGTGGTGAGGGCCCAAAACTTTTGCCAACTTCTGAGCAGGCAGGCGGCTGGGTCTGCCCAGAAGCGAGGCTGGGGGCTGTAGGCAGCGGGGACCATGCAGCGCCTGGCCCAGTCCCTTCCAGGCCGGCGGCACCAGGCCCTAGTCGAAGCCCCACGAGGACAGGGTGGGCCTGGTGCCTGGCCGGGCGCCCCCAGCCAGGTACCCCCAGGCCCACCCTGTCGGCCCCCCTCCACCTCCCATGCCGGGCCGGGGGCGCCAGGCCGCGCAGCCGCGGCCAGAGGCGGCGCCGACCGGCTCAGATATCAGATTTGGCCTAGTGCTGGCCGGGGGCTCGGGCCCGGCTCGCTGCTTCTCAGGGGGCTCGCAGCGGGAGGGTGAGCCGGAGGGGGTCCCCGCGCCGACAGACCCCTGCGCCCCCGCCCAGCCCCCTCCTCCCGCGGCATCACAACAAAAGGCCGCGCCGGGCACGTCCCCGTGCGCCCGCCCAGCGCTCCGGGCTCGCGGCTCGGCCGGGGGTGCGGGTCGGAGGGTGCACGGAGCCCCGGAGGGGCGGGGGGCGCTCACCTGGGCCGACGGGCGGGCGGGCGCACCGGCAGACAGACGCACGGGAGGGCGGCCCGCCGGACGGCCAGGGGGTCTGGCAGACGGCGGCCTGGCCGCTCCGGCTCCCAGGCCGGAATGGATTCCGGGCCGGGAGAGACAGATCGAGAGAGAAAGGGAGGAGGAGGAGGAGGCGGCGGCCCGGGGAGGGGAAGAGGAGGGAGGGAGAGCGCGCGCGCCGGGAGGAGGGGCACGGCAGGCCTCCGGGAGGAGGAGGAAGGAGGAAGCGCGCGGGGACGAATTCCCCGCCGGTGACCGCGAGGAGACCGGTGTGCGGGCCCCCCCCACACTCGAGCCAGCGTCCGGGCGGGGCGGGGGATGGGGTGCGGAGGCTTGGGGCACAGAAACCCCGCCCCGTGAGAGCACCCCACCCTGCGGACCCCCCATCCGCCCTCAAACCAAAATGCCCTTCCTAACTCCCCCCAACCCACCTACCCTATCTACCCCAAATCCACCTCTCCTGCAATTAGTAGTAATAATAATAATAATACCAGCACTAATGGAGCGCTCACTCCTTGCCAGGCGCCATGCTAAGTGGCTCAGGTCGACTTTTAAGATCTATTCCAAACAAGCAGCTGGGCTGGCCAGATGGTTATCTCCATTTTACAGATTGGGAAACTGAGGCACAGAGAAAGGGGTTACCTACAAGAAACAGGCTTTGGACTCTGGCCTTGACCTGAGTTTCCCAAAGTGGGGACTGGGGCGGGAGGGACCGTGTGGAGAGGAGCAATATTTATTTTAATAAGATATGTGTTCATTTCAATGTGTATAAAACACATAACTAAGGCCGCCCATTAGAAGTCATGGATATTCTCGCCTCAGAGGGGACTGCAGCAGGTATTCGGTGACAATTACACTTCCAAGTATATAAATAAAGAGGCGAAGCACATCTGGACGCGGGGGCGAGGGAGTATAGCAGAGAAAGGGGACGACCTGGAGGAAACGCTGCTGTAGGCCACAAAGCCTCCTCCACCACTGTCTGACCCCACCTTACTCCACCACCTCCAGGCCCAGGCTCCGGGGCTGCCCTGTTGGGGGCGGGCACCCCATCCTTGGCTTTTCACCTGTCCTCCTGGAATTATGGCACAGGGGAAGGTGGGCCTGAATCCAGCTTTAAATACCACCACCTGCCTCCACTTTCCTTCTCTGAAATTCTTCCATTTCACAGATGGGAAACTGAGGCACAACCAGGCCAAATGGCACAAGGCTGGGCTTCTCCTCCTGAGAGGAGCTGGGAGGGGAACCCTAGAATGTGGGAGGCAAAGGCTCAGGGTACAATACAGCGTGCAGGAGTCCAGGAGTGAGCACGGCCTTGAGCCGGACTGATCTGGTTCTAATCTAGGCCAGCTGCCCCCCTGCTGCACCTCGTACGAGTCCATCAATTTCCCCAGCCCAGTCCCCTTGCCTATGAAACAGAGTGAACAAGCCACAGAGGACTCCTGGGAAGGTTAAACCCGACAAGTGTGAGGGTGGCTGAGGTTGTGCCCAACAAATGGTAGCTCTTAAGGTTGGTAAACTGAGCCGGAGGGAGAAGGGGCAGCTTGAAGCCCCACAGCAAGTCAGCGGCAGAGCCAGCACCAGAAGCCAGCCTGGGCCGGGGAAATGGCTGCACTTGTTGGCAAGGCTGGCTTAAAGATTAACCATGGCTTCCCAGGCTGGAGGAGCGGATTTCTCAGCCCTCACTCACTCCTCAGACATGTCTGAAGGCCTTTCCTGGCCACACCGGGCCGGGTGGGCTGCTCACCCAGGGGTGTGCTGGGGCTGGCTGTTACCACTTGCAAGAGCAGACTGTGTTCATCTCTCCTCAACTCTCGGATCAATGATGTCACTTTGATAACTTGACATCAGCCACTGTAGGAGTATTTACACCTTGGAAATCAGCAAACACTACAAATCAAGGCTTTTTTTCCTTCCAAAGAGCAGGCTTTTAAATATTTACCAGCACATCACCAGATTCATCCCCAGGAGTTCAACTGAAAGTTCTGGGCCACGTCTAGAGCTGGGATGACAAAGAGCTTAAAAGCACAGACTTTGGACCCACAGACCTGGGTTAAGTCCCATCTCTGCCACTTCATGGATATGTGACCTTGAGCATGCCATTTCTCTGAGCCTCGGCCTGCCAACCTGCAAAATGGGCTAAAGACAGCACTTCCGTCAGAGGGCTCCCATGAGGATGCAATGAGGTGCTGCCAGCTCAGCACGTGTGGGCCTCACTATCTGTACCCTACACATTCTCTTGGAGGAGCAGGGACGACGGGGACAAGTCTTGGCTCTGGAAGGTGCAGCCTTCCACCTGGAGCCACCACTGGCTTCGAGGGCTTGGCTTAGCCGCTGAGGTTCTCAGTGAGCACTTCAGGGAGACGTGGCCAGCACGATGGTTGGGAACGTTTGTTATTTTCAGCCACCCCTCTGGGCCATTGCTCAGGCTGTAACTCCCACCGTATCTCTAGCTTCCCAACCTTCTGTGGCCATCAGGTTCCTCAGTAAATTCCACCACCTCCAGGACATGCTTCCTGACAAACTCCTGATGAGGCACACCCCAAGTCCCTTCAGGGTGTGTCAGTCCCCACCCTTAGGGCAGGGACTGTGGCCTGGCCCGTGCCCAGCACAGAGCAGACACTGCCCAGTCGGCTGGGGAGAACACACTGATTAGGGATCCACATACAAGAGTTCAAGTTCCAACTCTTCCGTTCATTGACCCTGCCCTCTCTGAGCCTCAATTTACTCATCAATAAAGTGGGGCCACAACCCCACCAACCTCCAGGATGATGTCGATGCGAGAGTTGCTGGTCTGGCCCGGTGGGTAAGTAAGTGACTCTGTGCATTATTTTGCTTAAAACATTGTTTGTTAGTAAAATAGCAACTCATTGCTTAATGCCTGCAAATCATTCGTCGTCGTTAATGGAAGCAACTTATTGACCACCGACGGTATACACAGCCCTGTCTCAGGCCTGGAAGACCGAGAAGCACAATTTCCCAACCCAAAGCACCCACAGGTGACAGATGTTATTGATGTCAACATTGCTGAGATGGTGAGCACTGGTTGTACACAGATGTCTGTCTCCAGAAACCTCTTCTTCCCTCCTTCCCCCCACCTGGGTCAAAGCCACAACTAAGGGCAGGATGGAGCATGTGGGGTGAGGCCTGGCCCCTCAAGACTGGCAGCAGACCCACAGGTGAAAGCTTTCCCATGAACTAGGATCAGAGGCACTGCCCGCACCGCACCCCTGGGCCCTGGTGGCTCTGGCTCGATGGTGGCCTATTTGCTAACCCCACCCTGAGCCCAGCTCACCTTGGAGGAGCTGGACCCATCACAGGCACCCAGCGGGAAATTCCAGACCAGCTCTGTCATTCACCAGATGGTTTGCTGTGAGTTGTCTATTCGAAGCCACAGAATGATCTGGACTTCGGGCTACAGGATGAGGTGGAAGAGGGGGCAGGCTCCAGCTTGAGGCTGTGGAATGGGCTTGGCACCTCCCGTGGCACTGCACTTTACAGTTTACACAGAGACGTCCAGTTCCTCAGTGCATCAGCCCGATCTGGCCCTTGCCAGCTGCTCAGGCCTGTCTTGCAGGCCCTGGTCCCCTTCCCTCCTTGTCAAGCCCGCATCCTTGCTGTCCCTCCGTCACAGCAGCTCATTCCCGCCCAGAGGCCTCTGCACTTGCTGGTCCCTCTGCGTGGATGCTGTCTACCCCACAGCCCCTGGCTAAGCCTTACTCTTCCTTTCTCGGGTCAGTCAGTATTTACTGAGCATCTACTATGTGCTAGGGTCTGGGCTAGGTGGTTAGGGGGACAGCAGTGAACAAACCAGGTCTGGTCTCTGCCTTAGAATTGCTCGCAGCCTGGAGGAGCAGGGAAGTGTGACCAGTGTGCTAGGCAGAGTGATGGGGCCAGCACCGGGGACTGGAGGGGCCCTAATTCACTATGTGTGTTGGAGAAAGGGGCTGGTGAAGGAAGGAGGTCGTCTACGGAGAGTGTAGAAGCCTACGGGGATGCTGGCAGGTGAAAATGGGACAGAGAGGGTATTCCAGGCAGAGGGAACAGCATGACCAAAGACACAGAGGCCTAAAATACTGCTGGGTTTGGAACTTGGACCAGTGCGGTGCTAATGGAGCACAGCATGATGGGCGGGCTGGTGTGGGGGGAATGAGGTGGGAAGGGTGGCTGGGGTGAGCCCTGAAGATCCCTGAATGCCAGGTTTGGCTTCTGTCCTGGAGGCAGTGGGGAGCCACGGAGCGTTGTGAGCAGAAAAGGGCCTGGGGATCTGTGCTGTCACTGGGTGGAGACAGGTGGGGCCAGGGAGGAGCAGTGTGGAGGCCTCTGCACTGACGGCAGCCCCGGCCGAGGACCAGCCGAGGCGGCGCCCCAGCTTACACTGGCGAGTGTGTGTGGGCACGTACCTATGTTCCAGGGAGCGAGGCCGAGCTGGCCCGGAGGCCGAAGACACAGGGCACTAGACGTGCGTTCCCTGGCCCCACAAGAGTCAGGAGGGGCTGGCAGCAGGTGAGCATGTTTCCTTCAGAGGCAGGTTCCTCCAGCATCCGCCCTCCAGGGAAGGGATGGAGACCGTGGGCACCCGAGCGGGTGGAGTCCAGGTGTGACCTGCAAATGGCAGGGTCAAGCGCGAGTACTGGCCCACACGGCCAAAATCCTCAAGGCCTCCCCTTCTGAATTGCACAGCCAGTTCACAGATGGGAAGCCTGAGGCTTGAGTGCTTCTCTGCCCACTTCAGAATCTAGAGACAAAACAGGGGATGTCACAGGCATGTGATCTGCCCGCATGAAAGTAGGGGAGACACCCGGCCCCGCCAGGCTCACGTGACGGCCGAGCGCCATGAAACTCAGCCATTCATCACGTCACTCCCCTCAGGCCACAGTAGAGGCCCAGAGACAGACTCCGCCAAGCTCACACAGAGGCAAAGCCAGCCCCCCTCCAGCCCAGGCCTCCTTCCGCCATGTCTCAGAATGTTTGTGAGAAAAGATAAAAGAGGCCAGGGCCCTTGATCTGCCTGGCCTGGCAGGAGGGCAGAGGGCAGGGCGGAAATCTGCAGCCAGAGCTGTGACCCCTCGGATCAGAGGGGGCTGGAAACCCACTGAGCAGAGAGGAGACAGGCTGCGACAGGAGCGCTTCAAAGAACAACTGTAAA